GCAATCCCACCAACAGTGAACTAAGGACCCCTTTTCCCCACAACCTCTCCATCATTTGGTTGTTTGTTGCTTTGTTTATGATAGCCATCCGGACTGGTGTAAAGTGGTATCTCATTGTGGTTTTAATTTGCATCTCTCTGATAGCTAACGATATTGAGCATCTCTTCATGTGTCTCTGGATATTCTGTATGTCCTCCTTGGAGAAATGTCTGTTCAAGTCCTTTTCCCATTTTTTAATTGGGTTAGATGTCTTCTTAGAGTGGAGTCGTGTAAGTTCTTTGTATATTTTGGAGATTAAACCTTTGTCTGAGGTATCATTGGCAAATATGTTTTCCCATTCAGTTGGTTGTCTTGCTAATTTAATACTGTTTTCTTTAGCCCTGCAGACGCTTTTTATTTTGATGAGATCCCATGTGTTTATTCTTTCTTTTATATTCCTTGCTCTAGGGGACATATCCGTAAAAATGTTGCTGCATGAAATATCTGAGATTTTCTTGCCAATGTTCTCCTCTAGGACTTTAATGGTGTCACAGCTTATGTTTAAGTCTTTTATCCACCTTGAATTTACTTTGGTGTATGGTGTAAGTTGGTGCTCAAGTTTCATTTTCTTGCACTTAGCTGTCCAGTTCTCCCAACACCATTTGTTGAAGAGGCTATCTTTACTCCATTTTATGTTACTGCCCCCTTTGTCAAATATTAATTGACTGTAGAGAGTTGGGTTGATTTCTGGGCTCTCTGTTCTGTTCCATTGGTCTATGTGCCTGTTTTTATGCCAGTACCAGGCTGTTTTGATTACAGTGGCCTTGTAATACAGTTTGATATCAGGTATTGTGATCCCCCCTACTTTGTTGTTCTTTCTCAAAAGAGCAGCTGCTATTCGGGCTCATTTATGGTTCCATATAAATTTTCGAAGTGTTTGTTCTATGTCTGTGAAATATGCCATTGGTACTTTAATAGGTATTGCATTGAATCTGTATATTGCTTTGGGTAGTATGGACATTTTGATGATGTTAATTCTTCCAATCCGTGAACAAGGTATATGTTTCCATTTGTTTGTGTCTTCCCTGATTTCTTTCTTCAGTGCTGTGTAGTTTTCTGCATACAGGTCTTTTACCTCCTTGGTTAGGTTTGTTCCCAGATATTTTATTTTTCTTTTTGCTGTATTGAATGGGATTTTTTCCTTGATTCCTGCTCCTGCTGATTCCTTGTTAGTATACAAAAATGCCTTTGATTTCTGGATATTGACTTTGTATCCTGCTGTTTTGCCAAATTCATTAATTAGTTTGAACAGTTTTTGGGTAGAGTCTATAGGATTTTCCATGTACACTATCATGTCATCTGCAAACAGTGATAGTTTTGCTTCCTCCTTTCCTATTTGGATGCCTTTTATTTCCTTTTCCTGCCTGGTCACTGTGGCCAAAACTTCCAAAACTATATTGAATAAAAGTGGTGAACCCACTTTCACCAATCTTAAGCTGCACACAAGAATGACAACAAATGCTACCCTATTGAAGTATCAGTGTAGAAATGTATTTTTATTTCAGCTTTAAGGGATTTAACATTTTTATCCCCCCTTTTAAAGTGGCTCTCTAGCTACTTTTGCAAAATGTGGTGTTCTGAGAGCAAATGACTGAAATGTATAAGCTAGTCTCATCTTTGTGGACCCTCACAGTTAGAAAAGCAAAGATATCGATATAAAAGAAGAAAATGTCAAAAAAATTGCCATAAATCACAGAGCAAGGATATCGGGCTACATTTGGCATCAGTTTTGTTGTATTTTAAGATAAATATAATCTTCTCTCCTTTAAGACCAGTTATTCCTGCTGTGAACTTCTTTACTGGAAGTCCTCCCACCAGGTGCACAGGGTGAGGGTGGTCAAGGGTTATTGCTGTGATTGAGAGTGTTCCTTGTGAACAGTTGCTTTTCCTATATTCTCACATATGCTCACTCCAACATTCGTGAGGATAAAAGTTAGGTATTTTATAGGTAAATTTATTTTATTTTAGGTAAATTTATACCTAAATACTGCTCAATTGAAGGAGGGAAGGAAAGAAAGAAGACTGGAAGTAAAGAAGGAAGGAGGGAGTGGAGAAACAAGAAAGTGTGGAGGGAAGGAGAGAGGGATGGAGGAAGAAAAGGAATAAGTGAGGGAGGGAAGGAGAGAGAGGAGTTATAAACTCCAAAAACCACCAGGGGATTTTGTTTCAGTGCAGATTCAGAATCAGTGGGCCTGTGACCTGGGTGGACTGGGACCTGCAAGCACACTTTTCTTACAAGGTACCTGGTGGTGCTGATGTTGCTGGTCCAGAGATCACGTCTTGAATAAAGAGACCCTAAACTAAGAATACAGCCATCGTTTATGCCATTTACTTCCTCCATCACTCATTTTCCCATACCTAGACCTAGAGGTCTCTGGAATCAGGCTCACTAGAAAAATATCTGAAAACCACAATTTCCATCATGGCATTGGGTATTTATTGTGTTCTGTCTCCCTGAAACATTGTACATGATGCATAGTGTAGTGTAGTCTTGGAGTCTAATAAAACTGGCTTCAAATTCTGATGCTATTGCTCACTAACTGTGTGATCATACATGAGTTATTTAACTTATCTGAACCTTAATTTCCATTTCTGTAAAGTGGGAATGATAATTCTGACAATAACAGGACTTCTGTGGAGATTAAATGAGAAAATGTATATAAAATACTGAGCAAGGTATCTGGCCCATAGTAAGTTTCACTAAATGGTAGCTATTAGGAAATATTTGAGTACTATATAGTCTAGGTGAAAAAGATTTTGCCTTCCATTAATCAAATTGCTCAGGATATAGTTCTTTTGTCACTTCTTTCTTATGTAAAAGAAAAATGAATTAACCTTTATAAAGTTTAGTTTCTTGTATAAATGGACACAATAATCATAAACTCCTTATAAGGTTATTGTAAGAGTTGACAAAGTAATATATATAAAATAATTAATGCATTACCTGACACACAAAACTTTTTTTAAAGATTTTTATTTATTTATCTTTAGAGGGGAAGGGAAGGAAAGAGGGAGAGAAACATCAATGTATGGTTGCTTCTCATGCATTCCCTGCTGGGAACTGGCCTGCAGGAAACCAGCCTGCAACCCAGGCATGTGCCTTGACTGGGAATCGAACTGAGACTACCTGGTTCACAGGCCCACACTCAATCCACTGAGCTACACCAGCCAGGGCTAAACTTTTTATATATTAAAAAATTATGTGATGTCTCTAAAAAGTCAATTGAGGGAAAAGAGGAATTGTTTAGAAGAAACACTTTAAAAGTATCTGGTCAGACACTGCCTGTGCCTGCAGGAGCAGAAGGAGAGAGCATACTGATTCCTCAGATCCTACCATGTCCACAAAAGCTTCCAAATGCTCTGTGATAGATCAGTGTCCCACCATAATAAAAGACACTGGTCAAAGGGGGAAAATGTCCAATGCAGTGAGATTTTTATCAGGCTAAACTTCTTCAATTTAAAGCATTGTCCTGTAAAGGAGAGCATATCCTTTGGGGAGAGGGAAGGGCATTAAAATGTCTTTATTGTATGATCATGTAAGTGTATGGCGATTTTTAATGATGTTTTTCCTAGGCAAAATTAAACACAATTATTACTTACTCATTTAATTTGACTGCCCTACCTATGAATTCTCAAAGGCTGGGAAAGTCAATGTTCTATGGTTATCTAATCATCTGCTCTTTGCAGTCACAGTGTAGCTACTGCACTGGGGGTCTCTGAGATGTTGTACCATGCGTATTATCAGAAGTGACTGTAGCCAGAGGCCATCATTTCCAATAGAAATAATGGTTTTTCTGTTGTAGTTCACGGTTAAATCATATTCTGAATATCATATTGACAGCCTACTTGCTGCTGAAAGGTTGTGCAGAGTTCAGACCTCTGGGAAGCAGCTAGGTCTGGGAGACCAGGGGGATGATACATCCCTGTGATTTTCGTCGAACTGATCTGAGCCCAGAGTTTGGGCTCTTGTTACTATGACATACTTCTCTCCATTTCATCCCCTCTTTTTCACACTTAGGTTGCCAGATTTCCATGTGGGGCTGCTGGCTAAGAGTCTCAATAAACTGAAAAAAGTTTAAGAATTCATGATGAGGTTTTTAATGGGACAGCCCTTTAGGCCTCTAGGTCTGCAAAGAGAGCCTTGCAGATATAAGAAAACAAATCCAAACATTGCTGGAAGAGGCTGGAGGCCTGGATATTGCAAAAAGAAATACAGAGACTTCTGACTCTTTAACTCTAGTTAAAGCTTATAGTATTAATAACACAGGTGTTAAGAAAAAATGGACAGTTTTCCCTTCCTTCCCTTAAGCTTCATCTCCCCAACCCAAAACATGCATCACACACACACACCTACACACTTCACCTAAGCCAGTACCAAAATTTTAAATGAGGTTATTTAACAATGTGAACATTTTCAAGCACATTTAAAGTCAGTTCTGAGTAATTCTTGCATGGTTTACCAAAAGTAGGTAACTGGGGAGAACTTTAAAACAGTTAATTACATTGCCTTAGAGAATCTAGATGATGTCCCCTTGTCAAGTATGTTGATGATCCAGCAGTCAGGAGAGAAAATCTTTGTTTGTTTTTATTAGTGACAGTGTAATACTGTTAGGAAACTAGGTCTACAACTGAGAAAACATATGTGACATCTTCTATATGTTTTCTCTTTTGAGGAATTCATGCCTCATCTCTCCATTATTGGCATAGGTAACTGAAAATTAATAGAAAATAAAATAGTATTTACTCTTAATTTTCCACCAAATTGTATATTTATGTGCTCATTAATAATGATTTAATATAGATGCATTGATGATTTGTAAGTCTAATTTCTTGTTGGGAAAAAAGCCATGTCTAAATTCCTTTGTATACACAAACACTCTTTTTAAAATTTACACTGATTTGGAAAAATAACTCAACAAAATTGTAAAGTTAGGTGCAATTATTAAAAATGTGAGGACCCCATACTTACCTGGCAGGGGGTATACTATGATCACAAAGGTGATTTTCCAAGGGTGAGGCTTATTCATTGCACTCCAGATGTGCTGATCCCTGCAATTTCCTCAAATGTGGGAAACTTGATTGCATAATTTGTGGTAGTGGGGGACTGCATTTGTGCTCTCCGCTGAAAAAAATAAACCTAAATAAAAATTTGAGGACCCTTTATAAGGAGGTCCTCGGATGAAAAATTAGTAATCCAAAATTGTACAGAAGCTGAATATATATGACCTACAGGCACACAGAGCTCTCAACCCAGCAGGTTTAGTGCCTGAGGTCACCATCTTGCAATTGTTAATAATTTACTTTTGTGTGCTTTCTGAGTAGTCTGATGGAATAACAAGAGCATGTGGGAGGATGTGTGGCTTGGAACAGCTAGTGGCCCAGCTGCTCCTTCCTCATCTCTTCTGGAGAGGGTGAGTTCTTGACCACCTGTTCCCTGCCTCTGGCACTCCAAGACCCCTGGAACCCTAAGTATGGCAGTTACCATCTTCCTTCTGCCCTTTGAAGTGGTCCAATTCAGTGTGCAACTCAAAAAGGGCTTCATGTCCACCCCTGATTCAGGTGTCCAGTGCATCTCAGCAAAGAGGTTGCAGTCCTTTTGGCTTCATCCATCTGCCAGGGTAGACACACTTGGGAAGGAGAGATTGACTTCCAGGCCCAGACCTGGGACCTGTATTTTCATTTTGTACTGAGCCCCACAGATTATGTAGCTGTTTTTGATGTAGGATTGAGCATGGATGAAGCATGAGAAAGGAATCTCTGTAGATGGGCATAAAAGCACAGGGTAAAATAACCTTGGCATCCACAGGGTTATGCCACAGTCCCATCAATCAATTGAGAGCAAAGACTTCATCCCTGATTGTGCACAATTTGGAGCATTTCCCCTAACAATGACCTTGTCAGAGGAAGAGTCTATTTCCTGGGAGAAGTGTGTTGAAATGAACAAGACTTCTTAAATTAAAAAGGACATTTTTAGATTAGGCAAAATATTCTCAGTTGGTTTAAAATATATGTCTAAATTATTTCCGTTTATTCTGATGCATATCTCTTCATTTTAAGACTACCAATTTGCAACTTACATAAATGCCAACTTGCATATATACACACAAGCTAAGTCCCAGAGGTGGCCTGCAGAAGATACAAAATTGAGTTTAAAAGGATCTTTGCCTTGAAAAAACTTAAACTCTTATAAACATAGCAGTACTTAGGAAAAATTCCTACCCCAAAGCTCCCTATATGCCAACAGTGTGTCATGGAATTTTGCCTATGTTTGATGACTCTCTCCTTTTTTATCCCTTTTTCAAAAGGAAGCATTTATAGAAATTGAGACCTTTACTGGACTGGATATTACAGGACTTCAGCTCTTCTTTTATTAAATGGATATAAAAACAATGATTAAAAATTGTTGAAGGAAGAATGAGCGAAACTTCATAATAAAATGTATTTAAAAAGTCTTCTTTACCAGTGTAGACTAAGTCTACGTGTACAACTCAAGCAAATATTGAATAATTTTGGTAAATATTACAAAAACATTTTAAGATAATCAAGTCCAAATAAGAGATTTGTAGGGTTTCTTGTTATGCTTTATCTAGATATTCCAAATCTCACTTTGACTTTTCATGCAATCTGTGAAACCTTTAAGTAAAGATCAACAATTAGAATCACTTGGGACCTAGACCCTTCACACAGAGAAAACTAGACTTCCCTCTACCAGAGGCTTGGTAAGTTACCTGCTAGAAAAAGAAAAGAGTCCATTTTGCATAATTAACGTAATCAGACATTCTCTGTTCTCCAGCCCTCCATAGGTGAAATTACAAGTACTTGACAAGAAAACTTACAAAAATATACAAACCCTTATGTGAATAAATGAATGTTTGATTTTCAAGTGTGGTTAATTACTTTAGAGTCTCCACTTCCACTAGACTCCTGTATAGTGTTTTGTACATAAATATGTGTGTGACCAGTATAATAAAGATCTTCGCACTGGCAGTAAAATTTGACAAACATTGGCAATGTCTCTCTGAAAAGACTTTTATAGACATCTTCACTAAATGCCAAGTCCCTCTTTGGCATTTAGTAATCTTGAAGAAAGGGAAGTTTAATTGAGAGAGGACTTCTGCCCTGCTTAGTTGGTTTCACATGCCCAACATAAAATAATGCATTCAACTGTCCATCTTATAATAAGCAACTTTTGCATCACCTTACTCACTGGTGAAAACCACAAACAATGGGTAAGAAAAGTATGAATATCAGGAAAAGCTGAGGGATCCTCACAATGTTCATGTGATTATGTTTATGCTAATGCATAGAGGATAGAAATCCAAAAGCTCTCTGCAGAACATGAGTCATTAAAAATGCATCAGTAACTAACAAGAGACTATGGTTCATTGAATGGGGTGGCATGGCCACCACATGGGAGAAGGTACAAATGGTTTATTCAGGGTGAGCAGTTCATATTTGCAATTCTGTTTCCTTCTCAATGCTTTGGCCATTGAATCTTCTTTGCACAGGTAATGGGATAATGCTCCAGAAAGGAGTATACCCTCTCAGGATTAAAAATGCTTTGTTTGTTTCTTAAAATGACTTATTTGGAAGTCAACTCCAAAATGGGGGGAGGGTAGGATTTAAAACTCTATACTGGAGTACACATCTATCATACTTTAGAATAGCTAAGCAATGCTGAGCTTAGTTTGCCTTAGTTAATGAAAAGCCATTATACCAAAAAATAAAAAATTAACTTGCTATGAGGAACAAGTGATTGTCTCTCAGGAACTCTGACCTCAAGTTGGGTGGAGAAGGTGGAACTTGTGAGGCTCTCTCCTCAGAAAGACACTGAAGGGAGGAGTCCAGGGCCTCACTACCACCCCTCTTGGTTCTGCAGGTAAGTCCAGTCTCTCCAGAGCAGAATGATCTGCAGGCAGCTTTTCAGGTTTCAGATGTGAGATCAACACTGGAAAGATGGTGTTGAATAAACCAATGCTCTGACAAGCAAATATTTTAAAAATTAAAATAAGTTTTAGCCTAGTTTACAAGCCAAACTCCTAATCCATCTTCCAGTACCATCACAAAATTCCCTGTATTTGCAGAGAACTAACTCCTATTATATAGCTATTTTAAATTTTATATTGTGATACGTCTAGAATTAGTTTTTATACTCCTTGAATTAACAGCAAACAAATATAATTACAAAATAGGTATATATGAGATGATTCTCCTTCTTGCTAAGCTATAAATCCCCCAGGATTATAATAGAAGAATGTTCCAGGTGAAAAAAACTTGGAAAGCCAAGCAGGTAATGCTAGCTGATGACCCATCGGCTGCTCATAAAACTAATTGAATATGCATCTTCTGGGTAAAGCAGATTCAGACTTGCCCCAGCAGTCTAAGCCATTATTTTTTCTCATGGTCTTCAATCACTAGTGGAATTTTATAAAACACACATGTGAGCCACCCCTTAGATGATCTGTTAGTAGCCTCATGAGAGATGTGAACATCTGCATTCAAGAATCTCTGCAAAGCATTCTGATTCACAGGCCTAGGTAAGAATTACTGGTCTAAGCCAGGTTCTGTGTGAGAATTTGGAAGCCATTTGGCAGTGTCTTTCTGTTATATTTTCTGATCATGCTACTGTAAACTAAAGGAAGCATTATATATGAACATCTCACTTTGTAGGCTCCTAAAGGCCCAACTATTTAGTTCTTTTCCCAACATTCATCAGACTGTACAGAATATGCAGTTAGGGTGTTGTGTGAGGGAATGCGCATTTGTACACACATAGGGACAGGAGTATGTATTGAATTGACTTAGGACAGGTGAATATTATAGTCAAATAATATCAAGTATGATATTAAATATAAAATAAATCTTGTTAAATAGGACCGTCAAAAGAAAAAGCAGATATGTAACAAGTATGTATTGCTCAAAAATTTACATATTTTCTCATTCAGTCTTCACAAGAGCAACCCTATGCGGGAGGTACTATTATTTCCCAGGCTTTTATAAGAGGAGGCTAATATATAAAGAAAAGGGAAAACAAGCCCACGTTCACATAAGTAGTAAAGTGGCAGATCTAAATTTAAATGCAGGCAGAGTTTAAAATTTAAAAGTCCCTGCTTTTAAACTGTATATCAAACTGCTTTTAATGTCTAAATTGGAATTGACAGAATTTTCCTATAAGCTCATAATTTAAAGATATTTCCAAGGTTTATACCAAACAGCAGTAAATAGGTGGCTGTCAATACCTCTCTTGAAGGAATTATACCACTTTTCAAATTAAAAGCCAAGCCTCTGTTTCTATTGGGTGATTGTTCAATGAGCATGAGTAAAATGCCTACACTAGGCCTGGGCATAAGTGGTGAACTAGTGAAAACAGTCCCTGCCCTACTGGAGTTCACAGTTGCTGCCTGAAAAACACTAACTATTAAATTCAAAATAGAACACAGAGAACTTTCTGGACATTCTGGGTCTCCAGAGAGGTAACTCTTTTCCTAGGAACCTGGTCAGAAGGAAACTACCCAACCCATTTTAAGTTCATATTTTCATGTCTGTGCATGGGAAAATAGGTAACCTCAAATTCTTTGCTAACATAGGCTAAGCACTGCTTCATATCTCTCTGAAACCCTTAGCCATGTCATTTATTCATCTGATTGTTGAATTCTTCCACTAGCTCTGGGAAGACCCCTGATTTGGGAGATGCCTGACAACCAGACAGACTAGTTTATGGTCCTACAAAGTTAGGCATGACATATGCACTTGGGGCAAATGGAGATATGCATTAAAAAGAAACATTTTTTGATCCAAGCAGGAAAGCATACATAATCTCCTCTAGAACCTGTGAAAGACATCATTTTACACATAAAATTGTGTGCAATTGCCCCATACTGCACTAAACATGTTTTTTTAAAATAACAAGCCTTAAAACAAGCTGTTGTATGCTGGTGAGGGCCCCTAGCAACAGAGAATAAAATATAAGCAAATGTGATCTGTGTAAAGTTATGGGTAACAGACACACACTCTTGTTGACACAGTAAGTGTATAGGACAAATCCTAAACTTTACAATGAGATGTCATCAGGAACAGAGTACAAAATGTATATGGCACTCATGAAAGAAATATGAAACTGAAGGG